CTATGTGCATTTTGGATTTTATGGATCCTGTGTGGCATCACGTCATATCCACATTTTATCAGAAATGCAGACTACAGGGTTTAAAACATTGAAAATACTCTTTTTAGTGTTTTTAAAACACAATTTCTTGGAAAAGAAGTGAGAAGATGCTGACTATCTCATTATGTTCATATGGGAAATTCTTGTTCCTTGTTTCTGACTATTTTGATTCTCATTAGAATTCTCTAGGGAGCAGATCGGGTGAATTCCCTGATTTTTTACACTCTGAGCTTTCTGAAGTAAGGTATTTGGGGGCTTTCACTGCAGGATTGGGATGGATTTTGGCCCCGTCAATCACCTTCCCTCATGCAGCCTCCTATGAAAGACTTGCCTGGGGATAGAAGTGTGAAGACTATGAAAATAAAATTTACATCCAAAAAGAATTAATTTTGCTATCAGGAGAAGTACTGGATTTTCCTAATCCTCTTGCTTTTTTGAAGGTAATGTTATTTATGGCCACATAACATTACATCAGAGCTGGAAAGCCCCACAGATGCATTTTGCCTAAAACACCACTTGAAAGACGAAAAAACTGAGTTCAGAGTCTGGCATTAGCTCATTCCGTGGCTTCAAAGCCAGAGTGTTGACGCAGAAGATCATATGTAACCGTAAGTTGGAGAGCAGAGGGAGAACGAGATTCTGGGACACTACCCAGAGTAGGCATTCCAGTGGTCAGGGTAACTATGCTGTAAGGATAACTACGTAGCTGTGGTCCTCGGTCTCTGTCTTACATATGTTCAAGCCTAAAGCAGTCATGTGAGTGGGATAATAATTCTACAGAGGAGGAGATCCACATGATACTTTTTGTTCTTTTCAAATCCTTGCTCTAGGTCTTAATCTCTTAAGTCTCTTTCTACCTGGGGCCACCCAGACAACCACTGATTTGTGTCTGAGCTTGAAGGTAAGTAAAATGCTTTAGGCTTTTGTGTACTGTGTGTTCCAAGCCTTGTCTTCAGCCCAGGTTACCAAGGAATTTATCACTGGAGTCTCAGGTGAAAGCCCACCTACTTATAGTAAAGTGGTACTTGGTTCTGATTTGTCCTTTTCTCTTATGCATATATATATATATATTCCTAAGAAGATGAGGTGATGGAGGCTTGGCAGGGTTGGAGGTATTTATGGGTCTTGTAAGGATCGTCTGTAGTGTCCCCCAATTCACCACAATCCCAAACAGAAATTAGTACATCCCAGCTCTCCGTCCTGTCCTTCAGCTCACTTACTAAAGCTAATTGAGAAGGAGCTCCCTGACTGCCTTTATGCACACAGACAGCTGAGCTAGGAGCAGGGAGATGTGATCTTCAACGGTCACTGCAGCAGCATAACTACTTCAGCAGAATCATATGTTTATCATTTCCAATATTTTTGGAGAGTTGGTTCAATCTGTGCTTCAGATGCTTTTTAAGATGTACTGTGAGCTGGCCAGGCCAACCTGGGGAATACTTAGATTATGACCACATTAGCAATGCAAGTAAATGGGTCACAGTGTAAAGCAGCAGCACAGATGAGTTCATAATGATCCCCACCTTGGTGAGCAAATTGACACCTGTTCCTCTTTGAGCATCACTGGAGCAGATTCTTTTTTCCTTCCTCTGGACATCACAAGACTGGGGTTTCTTGCTTCAAAGGAAGAAAGATATATTTGGAGGGTATCTGGGTGGCTCAGTTGGTTAAGCGAGTGACTTGATTTCAGCTCAGGTTATGATTTCAGGGTTGTGAGAGCAAGCTCCCTGTGGGGCTCCATGCTGGGTCCGGAGCTTGCTTAAGATTCTTTCTCTCCCTATCCCTCTGCCCAACCCCCACCCCAACACTCAAAGATGTATTTTGATCTAACCTTTTGAGGATGAGAAGGAAAAGAAAGTTCTAGGCAGGAGGAAGTCCAGAAAGAGAGTACAAATAAATGGAAGGAATTTTTTAGAACTATCAGATAGTTCTGAAGTTTGCACATTCAGAGCAGGGACAAGAAATAGGGGCATAGAAGGGAAGGACAGGAGAAGATACTAGAGGTGGAAGCCAGCACTGGGTTTTGGAAGCTTTACCACTTTAGGGATCATGGACAGTATTCTATGAACAATGGAGAAACACTGAAAAAATGCATGGGAGCGATATTATCAAGTTTATATTTCAGAAAATTCACACTGGCTGCCACTTTGAGGGTGAATTTAAAGGAAGCAAGACTGGACGTGGGGTTAATTTTTGAGCTATGGAGGTAGATGAAGACCACAGTGATGATGGAGTGGCGTGGCAGACACGGGGCCAGTCACTGTCATACCTCCTGTGACTCTGTTCTCATGGCAGTTCCCAGTAGAGAATATAATTTCACTCGCTACAGGGATGACAGACAGGTCACACAGAGAGTAAGAGGCAGACTGGGATTCCATCAGGAGCTCTGGCTCTGCAGATTGAATCTATTCTGGAGCAGAAAACATGGAGCTCCTGGCACCAGCCAGTTCTGAGGGTTATAGATCGTTAGGTCAGGAAAGGGCCTCCGCACTGGATTATCCCATTTCATGTCTCAGTGCTTCCCAACTTTATTAGCTTGAGAATATCTATCTATCTATCTATCTATCTATCTGTCTATAGATAGATATGTATATATATATTCTTTTTTACAAGGATAGTGTGGAGATAAATGAGATAATTTATCTGGTATTAAAACTTTTCCCATTCATCCCTGGGAGGCTTCCTGTGGAGCTACCAAGAAGGTGAAAATTTAATCAGGTATTTGTAGAAATTTTCAAACGAAGGGAGTTCTTCCTTATATTTATGAAGAATTATGGAAAGTATTGTCCCATAAGTGCTCTGAAATCCTTGAAGGCAAATGTAAGTCAAGTAAATTACACTTAATAGAAGGGCTGATTTTCTACAAAAAAGTGAAATTTGGTCTGTTCTTCATTTCCATCAAAAACATTAGTGCCCTCTGCTAGATCTATTAGCTAAAAATAAGTCTCCTCCTTGTTAGGTTCAGAAAGAGTCACATTTTAGATTATAAAATTGGAATACCATTTAGGCATCCAATTTTCATAGAAAATAAACTTTTTTAACCTTTTAATAATTCTGTTTTTCTTTCTCCAGATGAAAATAAGGAATGGACTAATTTCTTTAAACATCTTGAAATAAATTTAGTATCTCTTTTCCTTCTTCCCTCCCTCCGTCCCTTTCTCCCTCCTTCCCTCTCCTTTTCTTTTTAATTAAGCATTAACCAAAAGCCAGGGAAATCTATTTGAAGAAAAAATGAGCTCTTCCCTCTTCTTCCTTATGCTGTAAAGTCTGCACATCGTTGACAGAATGTTGATTTAGAATTACACTAATTGACAGTGAAAGACTTCATATAATCCTGTTTATATGACCTCCAATAATGTTGAAAGATCAAATAAAAAACCGACCCTGGCAATTTTCAGAAGCCGTCATAGACTGTAACAGACATGATTTAGATGAATGAACTTCCAGTCTTCACAAAATGTGAATTTGCATTTTACACAAAACCCACTTCATCAGTCACTAGGCATGCTCCAAAAGGATGACTTCCACAGGGCCAAGTGCCTGCTTTTCTTTATAGGCATATGTAAGAAACCCCTGTTCATTGTTCTTCATGGACTACAAATACTGGTAGCTTCTCCAGAAGAATTGTCACCTGGCTTTTCTGTCATTATGCAGGAGAAACACTGATTTTCAACATCCGTGCCAGGATTCATCAATAGCAAAATGGGCCATAGCACTTGATTTCAGCAAGGGTCATCATAACCTTTGAATGTGCATATATTGAAAGAAGGGGGAAATCTCTAGAGGATAGCCTAAAAACGCACAGAACACAATCTGAGAAAGTATTCGTTCATACTTTTCTAAAGCACATCTTCTTCTCATTGCTCTGTTTTTTACAGAACCTTCAACTTTTACTACTTCTACTCATAAAATATTGATTTTAAAGGACAATGAGAACTCAATGTGGCATCAGTTAAGAAGCACCCTTCTACCCAGGGCCAGGCTCTGGTCTACTGAGGGGAGCAGTGCTGAGAAGAAACAGCAAACTAGGCACCCATCAGATAGAGAATGGAGGTCAGCGAAGGGGATGGATGAGGAATATTGTAGATAGATCAAGTCCCTGGCAACAGGAGAGAGTCATGCAGACGTCTGGAGCAAGGGGATCCTTGGCAGAAAGAATAGTGTGTGGGAGGTACATGAGGTGGGAGTTTGCACAGCTGGAACCTCACAATCTTGGAGGGCTGCTGTGAGGATAGCATAGACAACATATGTGATAGTACTTATCAGTACCAACCTTGGACAAGAGTTCAAAGTGAACATCAGTCAGGTGACTCTCCTCCACACAGTGTTGTGAGCTTAGGAATCACTTAACAAATTCATGCTTAAAAAAATGAGAACTCCCTCCATTGCTAATTTTTGACAAAACACAGAAGGTCTCAGAATCTGATGGTGCCTCTCATCCGAACCGATGTTGGCCATCCATGTGTGCTTATTTTGAAAGGAAGTCTGATTGCAGCAATCTGTGGCTGATGTAGATTCTGAATAGAGCAAAATAACGCCATTTATAATAAATGTAAGTTACCAGGAGTTTCCTATGTTAGAGGAAACAACAGTAGCTATTATAACAACCTCCTAAAATAACACAAAAGTCTTTTCACTCACAAGAAGTCTGTCAGGTGAGTCTCCTCCACAAGGTGGTCCAAGGCTCCAGAGTCCAGCTACTTTGGGGTTCTGTCATTTTTACTTTGCAGTCACTGTGGAGAGAACAGACATGAAGTGGGGCATGTGGGTTTCTGGGGATAGACACAGCACTTCTGTCTACCTTCTACTGGCTGGCAACATAGTTGTCCTCAATACCCAGAAGAAAGTGAAATATTTGGTGAACACACAGGCACACAGATTCTGTGCAGGGACTTTATGGTTATTATCTCATTTATATCTACGAGGCGGGTGCTCTTATTTCCATTTTTTTCCCTGCAAAGATCCTGCAAAAGCCACAGATGTGGCCAGAGCCATGCAGAGATTCCATCCCAGGTCTGTACGATGATAAGATGTCCCAAGTCATCACCTTGTAGTGCCTTCCTGAATAACCGACAAGGTATGGTATCAGAAAGAGGCTGGGCAGAGTGCCATTTGGTTACCTGACATCTTTTTGGCTGTGTTAACAGCTTGGCCAATTTGAGAAGTCACTCCACAACTTTGTATGTCAACTTCCTCATGAGAAATGGGACTGTTTGATTATTCACTCTCCTTCTAGTGCAGCAATTCATTTAATTTTATTGCCTTTACATTTTTATAAGCATGATATTGGTGAACGACTTTCGCATCCCTTATAAGGGTCCTTAATAGGGGCTACAGGGTAGTTGGGGGGGAAATGCTCTGCTGGAATCATATCCGTTTGGAATACTCAGCACCTTCTTAGCTCCTTCTGCCTCTGTTCCCCTTGAAGAATTTCCCATCTGTTAGCAGACCCCACTGTCAAAGAGCAGCTGATTCCTGTTGGTTTAGGAAAGCGTCCAGCATGGCTTGTATTCAACAGCCCGTGGTCTCTTTTCCGGAGCACCCTGGGAATGGAACCTGCCAAAACACTTTCACCATAAACTCGGCATGAAATGCGCCTGTCCAGGGCTTCAGAGCAGCTTAGCTAATAAAGCAGGAGATTGCTGAGGAAAAGTGGATACTTGTGCTGCTCAGGAACTCCCAGCGCCAGGAGCCTGCCCCTCCTGGCTCCCCTGGGGATGCTGGGAGTTTATAGGTTTAAAGTCAAGACTACAAGTATGGCCCACAGCCAGCTTCCTGAGAAGGGGATGAAAGTCCCCATCGGAACGCCTGCCCCCTCTCTTCGCCTTCTTTTTTCTGGTTAGAGCAGAACCTGCTTTCTTTTCATTTTTCTTTTTCTTTTCTTCTTTTTCTTTTTTTTTTTTTTTTTTTTTTTTGCCAGAAATCGGAGGCTGTTTTCTGTTCACAGGAATGAAGCACAGTGGCAAGAAATGATGTCAAACATGATTAAATGTTACCAGGACAAGATGGTGATTTTTGCAAGCCTGTGACGTGAGAAATCTGGGCCTATTATGAATGAGGAATTTCCAGAATGTGCTTTTGAAAGTTTTTCAGAGTAAGTCAAGTGCTGTGGGTGCTATGACTGAGGGGGAGACGTAATCACAACCAGCTGGAAAGTGTTGGCCAGCCAGTTTTTCTGTAAGCCCCAGGGTAATTTAACCCATTAATTCATTCCTCGTTCATTCATTCATTCATCCTCTTGAGCTCCTCCACGGGTCAGATGCTGTGGTTGGTGTTGGAACAATAGCTCCCTGCTGCCCTCCCAACTCCCACTCTTGTTCTCTCTAAGACCTTAATCTTTTTTCTTCCTCTAGAGAAGTCAGAATGGCCCTTCAGAGAAATAAATCAAATAATGTCCTTTTCCCACTAAACATCTTTTAATAGCTTCTGCGGCATTTAGAACAAGCAGCGCTCTGTAGTGTGGCCTGCAAGGTGCAGCCTGATGTGGCCTAGCCTTGTGTGGACCCTGTCCTTGCCTGGTCTCCCTGGCGATTACTACTTTCCACTGCATGGGGCCTCCTAGCTCCCCACACAGACCGAGCTCTCACCAGGAAAGGACTTCTGCATGTGCTGGGCTTCCTACAGAACCATTCTTGGCCCAGTTCATTAGAACCTGTATCTTTCTTTTCTATCTCAGCTTAAATTCTACCTCCTATAGGAGCCCTTTCCTGACCACCCATTTGAAGGTAGTTGACAGTCTTCTTTATCCTGCACTGAAGTTATCCCGATCTGTAATGTTTTCTTTGTTTATTTGTTTGCTTTCCCATTCATTCCCTACTAGAATGTAAGCTATTTTTCTTTTTCACCAGTAAGTAGGACAACAAAAAACATTTAGGTAAAGCCCTGTCTGTAAGACTGTCATTTAGTGAGAGAGAAAAATGTTCTAAGACACCACCCAAATACAAGGTGATAATGGCTGTGTCAGAGGGAAGCAGGACACAATGGGAGAAGTCCTTGAGCCTCCCAGACTAGGTGGTCAGGGGAGGGCTTTATCAATAAGGTGAATTCTGAGCTGGACCTTGAGCTTGACCTTGATGTGGTTTGTGGATGGTGAATACCGTACAGAGCTTTTCAACATTTTTGAATAATGAAGAAATCTTTTTGTGTGGTTGAAGTACAGTGTGTATAAGATGAAGGAGGGAGACGTGACCTGCAGGCAGCTGTGGCCAGATATGAGATACTGTGGGATGATGGAAGGTAGAGAGAGTGTTAACCATCCCAAATACCTTGAATCTAGTGAAAATGTTTATTCCTTGTGCTGCTGGTGCTCAATGAGAGAATAATGCTTCTGTGGAGACCCACCTCCTTGGGGTGCTTTTGAGGGGGGATATCTATTTAACCATAGTTAATTTCTTGCCCTCAATATTGTCCCCAGTTACATCCTCTACATGATGTCAAGTCTATCTGTGGCTTGGATATCCTTGAGCAACTCGGAAGAGAACAGTGAGAAAAACATCACATTATTATATTCTTCTTCATGAATGTCATTCAAATAAAGTTTTTGAAGAAGAACCCAACTACCACTACTGTTTGATGAGGGCTGTTGAAAGTGACAGGATGGTGGCAGCTGCCTTTGTCGAAGAAGGACCCTCTTGGCTGCCAGAGAGTTGGCTTGGCCGCGCAGCATTACAGAGGCATGTGTGAACAGTAGTGTGAGTGAGGATCTGTGTGTGTGTGTGTGTGTGTGTGTGTGTGTGTTTTCACTTGGGAGGACCAGACACAATAGAAGAGAATAGGAAACTGGAAGGTCAAAAGGGAGGTCACAGGATTTTATTTGAAATTGTTCCCTATTAGCACTAATGGGTGTCATTCTGCTTTCTATTAAAGCCATTTTGTCAAACTAGCTTGTTTTATTCAGTTGCAAGTAAAGAGGCTAGTTAGGGAGAGGAAGAGCATAGCACCATGGTTTAGGGGTGAATTTGGGTCACACAGACCTGGGTTTGCTTCTTGGTTCTGTCCCACTTCCAAATTATATAATTTTGGTCATATTACATAACCTCTGTGAGCTCTGATCTCTCCTCTGTAAAACTGAAATAATAATTCCTATCAGTGAGGATTATTTAAAATGCTGAAGAGATGATGCATACAAAATACTGACTATTGCATCTAGAATATAACACACATCAATATAGGCCAGGGGCATTATCTTATTATTATTATTTGTCACTCCTCCTATCACTAGGGATTTCTGTGTACTTCCTGGACTCTAAACTGTAGGCAGGCAGAATTCATGCCTAATTCCTTTTTATCTCCCACAGCAGCACAATAACTAGGCCATAAATAGCCCCTGATAAATATTTATGAAATTATTTTTAATTACTAATACATGATTTTGATGTATTCATAGTTCTTAATAATTTTAATAATCATTAAATTTGTTCAGGAAGCATTTGACTAAATTCCTTTTTCCTCTTGTACTCTTTCTTCAATGGGTTTCAGCCAACCCCTAGGGAAGAAGGAAGGGAGAGGAAATCACTATTTTGAGAGGGTTAAGAATCAGGTCTCTAGAACCAGACAGAGCCAGACCAGAGACTGTAACGTGGCTTCCTAGACTCAGGGTTTTCATCTATAGAATGAGGTGAATATTTACAGTGATAGTAACGATGACAGTGCATATCTCACAGGTTTGCGGTTTCACTCGGCCTCACAAATACCTTGGGAGGATTCTGGGTTAAACAGGCTTCTATGGAGGTAATGGAATCAGAACCAGAGGAGACGGGTGAAGAGCCTCGTTCACGGGAGAGGTCCAAGGACAATTTGTTCCTTCTTCTTGCTTCTTCTTTCTCACTGGGAACAAAGGAGCAGAAAGGTTCTGGTCACCTGGCTGCTGGGGGCTGGAGGGAGGGGCAGGGCAGTGGGTTCCAAGTTCATACAGCTGGTTCTCAAGCCCAGATCCTTTCTGCTGGGCCCTGGAGCTTCCCTCAGGGGTGTGGGGAAGAGGCCTTTGCGTTTATGTGAACCCCTCCCTCTCTCTCAGCTCAAAGCCATCTTCACCTAAAAATCTCAGGGCCATGAAGAATGAGTCAGCTGGTCACACAGCTCCCAGGGCCACCTTCCAGGTGACAGAGACAGATATCACAGTCGAGAAGGACATAAAGACCTGCCCAGGACCAGCAGGACTTATGTTCATGCCCTGGGAAAACACTCTGCCATGTGGCTCATTAAAAAGCCAGCATTGTCTGCCCAGCTGCTTCTTGCTGTGGAACGAGTCTGATGTCTCCTCAAAGCTGTCTTGTCTCTTTTTTAACAGCTGATGGTGGAGGATTGCTGAGGCCAGAGCTGAGTCACCTTCAACACAAGCTTTTTTGTGTCGGCTGCCAATTGCCAGAGAGGCCTTGTCTGCTTTTCTGATGCAAGGAGCAGCAAGCTCCCATCTCTGCCTCAATGTCACCCTGCTGGCTGGCTCTGTCCACACAGCTCCACAAAACAATGTACCCCAGAGAGGGAGAGAGAGAGAGGGAGGGAGGGAGACAAAAAAGGAAGGAGGGAAGGAGAAAGAGAGAGAAAAAGAGAGAGGGAGAGAGTTGGAGAGAAAGACAGAGAGACAGACAGAAATGGAGATGGAAAGGAAGAGAGAGAGCAACAGAGACAGAGAAGGAGGGGGGAGAGAATATAGAAGGCAGAGAGGGAGAAAGATGGAGAGAGAGAGACAAAGACAGAGACATGGAGAGAGAGAGAGAGAGATGGAGACTTTGGTGGTGGGGAGCAAGGGAGGGAGGGGAAAGGCAAGTCTGCTGAATCAGGAGACCTCCAGGTCACACTCTGCTGGCAGGACGAAGCAGAAAGAAGAAGTCTCATTTGGAATCCATCTCCCTGCCTCTCATGGTGCTATTACTCCTGGCTTAAAAGCTGGGAACTTTGCCTCTAGGAACAGGTTTGATGCCCTATCCTAAGCCTTTGTTCCTGCAACTGTGGAATAATGAACTAACATCACCTAAGTCAGAGGGTCGATGGGGTACTGATTTATCTAATAACAACAATAAACTGCCCCCACCCTTGACTGCTACCCTCAGACCTTGTGGGCTCTCATGCTGGACACTTTCCCAGGCCACTCGACTCCTCCTCTCTAGACGATCCTAACAATGTGCTGAGTTGTGCCTGCTGTTCAGTATCTGCCCTCCTAACTAGGACAAGAGAGTGGCACATGCCAGGATGATGGCACTCCATTTTGGCATCTAGCCGAGTGTCTGCAGCACAGATAGTTACTATATCAATATTTGTTGAATGATGACACTGTAAAATGTTGTAACAAACTCCTAATGGGATCCCCTCCCCACCCCTTGCCCTGTCCCTTGAATTTTGCTCTGCCCCTCTCCAAACCATATTGCCCAGAGGCAATGGAGTCATCTTTGTAAAGGACAAATCCGACTTTCACACCTTTCCTTAAAGTCCTACTCTTCCCTTTGCAGACAAGGAATATCCCAGCACCCCATCCTTAGTCTCTGGCCATTCCAACTGATGATTCAGCCTCTCGCTCCCCCGTGTCTCAGGGCCGCTCCTGGACACTGTGCATTTACAGCATCCTTGGCCTTCCCAGGAGATAACTTCTGCTTGACAGGTCTCTTCTGCCCCAAAGATTCTCACTTGTTCTTCCTGGGGAACCTCTACAGGCTTCCTCCTTTGTGAAGCCTTCCTTGACACAGCCACCAGTGTCTCCAGATAGGACCGACCCCCACTTCGTGTCCTCCACTTCCAGATTGCCAGTTGCTCGTTTCTCTCCTCCAACAAAGGACAGCAAGTTCGGGAGCAGATGGGAGGGGGTGAGGATGGGATGTAGTGGGGGATGGGAGGGTGGGAGGCAGACGTGCCAAGGTACTGCTCTGAGTGAGAGGTTTGAGAAGAAGGTGGCTGCAAGGACAAGCCCACACCAGGACACCTGTGGCAGCGGCCACTGAGGTTATGTCCAGAAACAGACTGCACCCCAGGTGAGCATGTGTGCACCATCCTGTCCGTGCCGAGGCCTGGCACAGTGCCCTGAGTCAGGCGCCAATCCAAATTAGGCTCGAATTCCCTCTGTAAACAAACAGCAGGACAGGGAACAGAGGCGCCTGCTAATTTTGAGTGGATCAACGCTTTCTCTGCTGGAGATGGCTTCAAGTGCTCAAGGATCAAGCCAGGCCCCCTTGCTGAATCAGCTGGGCCTCCATGATGCTGGAGGTACGTGACGGGGGTTTTGCCTCTGACTTTGAGAACTGGTGATTTAGCCTGTAATACCTACCTGGATTCTGGACATTTTGAAATAGAAAACAGAAATTAAGGGCATGGTGGAAAGAATGTAGGCTTTGCAGTCAGACAGATCTGGGTTTTTCGCATGGAGTAACCATGGTATAACTTAACTCTCTGAGCCTCAGTTTACCTTTCTGTAAAATGGCGATGTTATAGTACCTGACTTATGCCCTACTGAGGGTTGTACGATACTCTACTGTATCCTGGTGTCTAGTGCTTGCCACAGAGCAGTGGGTCTCAATTGGGGCACCTTCATCCTCCAAGCCATACTTGGCAATGTTTGGAGACATTTTTGATTGTCACAGCAGGGGAGTATTCAACTGGCATCTAGCAGGCCAGAGATGTTGTAAAATATTCTGTAATGCACGGGACAACCTCCAAGCCCCCAACAAGGAGTTGTTCAGCTCAGAGTGTCAACAATGCTGAGATTGAGAAGTCTGTCTTACTCGAGTATGTTTGGCTATCTGGAGCCAGTAACAATGTTAACTATTAAATATTAATATTATATTATATTAAAATATAATTATTGGGGTGCCCCTGTGGCTCCATTGGCTAAGTGGCTGACTCTTGATTTGGGCTCAGGTCATGATCTCGGAGTCCTGGGATCCAGCCCTGTGCTGGGTTCCATGCTCTGCAGGGAGTCTGCTTGAGGGTTCTCTCTCTCCCTCTGCCCCTCTCCCTGCTCTCTCTGTCTAAAATAAATAAATCTAAAAAAAATTAAAATATAATTACTATCTCTTTCTAATTACATTTACTGAATATATATTCAGGGAATGCAGAAGAAGCTGCCCCCCCATTAGGAATGGCTCTAATTTCTTCCAAGTTCCTCCCTTTAAGAGGTGGGGTCTCTGTCACCTTTCCTTGAACCTTGGCAGGTTCTAAAAATATGGTGTAAGTGCTGATATGCTGGTTTATGAAATTAGCAGCTTCTACTCCCTGCCTCTTGAGCATCCTCTTTGGGAATCCTGAAATACCATGTGAGAAGTTTGGTTCCTCAAGATTCCCATGCTCAAGGCAGGCAACCTTGTGGACTGCCCCAGTGAAGTCCAGGCTTCCAGCTTCCCTCACCAACTACCATTCATATGCACAGATCCTCTTGGACTCTCCAGAAGAGCCCGTCCAGAAATGAATACTGCTCGTGAAGTGACAGTCAGCATCATGGACGG